ACGTAACTACGTAACGTAACGTAGTAGTAGTAGTAGTAGTAGAGAGAGTAGAGTAGTAGTAGTTAGTAGAGAGAGAGTAGAGTAGTATAGTATTAATAGAGAGAGAGAGAGAGAGAGAGAGAGAGTTCTTTGTAAAATTTGCTTTCTTACACTCTTTTGCTCTAATGAGGACAAGAATGGACGCAATGGTGAGCATATGGAATATTGAAGCGACAGGATCTGTGGCTTTCTTTTTCATTTTTATAGTTTTTTTTTTGTGAGTTCCACAGCTTTAATTGATTTGGGGAATGAGGAGTTAGCTTTTGGCAGGGAGTGTGATGTAATTCTTTTCCTTTCCTCCATGCGGTTGCTGCATTGCATGTGCACTGTAAATGGAGGGCACCTGCCCTCTCTCTTAACTTGTAAAGTTTCATGGGAGCAAGAATAAAGGGAATATCATGGATGTGCCGGTCCTATTGTGGATATGTGTGATGGGCTTTCGGTTTGGAGTTTTTGCATGGTTCGGACTTGGAAATTTCAATTCAAGAGGATACATACACTGTATTTTATGTGTGCATACTTGCATCGTCAACAGAGTAATTAACGAGAGAGCACTAAAGGACAGAAAATCTATGAGAGTGAGCGAGATGTTAAGAGTCAAAGGGCGCACTTAGAGAGAAAAAAGGACATGGTCAAATAAAAAAAAGGAACTAATTGGACAAATTAGAGAAAAGTTAGAGAGAAAAAGGACACGATTAGAGAGAATGGATCTAGAGATAGAGAAAGAATGGATATAGTTTGAGGGAAGAAATAAGGAGATAGGGTACTGTTTTTGGAATTGGCCGAAGAGACTCGGATTCGGCTGAGTTATTTGACCTTGGCCTATTGGCGAGGAGGTAGAGTACCATGTACCGATTTGAGCTATATATCCATCTCCGAATCGTATGTGGTAAGGTTGGTGTTTTGGCTGTTGTACACGACCTAGAAGTCTCACGTTGAAGGTTAGAATCCCATCGGGGCATAATCCCAACTTTTTTATAAAATTTAGACCTTTTTTATTTTATTAAAAATATCTTATTAAATATATCATTCTTTTTTTTGTTATTCCATTTTTTTGAACTTGGCCGAGTTATTTAGACTTGGCCAAAAAATTCGCCTCAGACAAGATCCGAGTACCTTGGTTGAGTCAATTTTCTTAGCATTGAGATAAAGTATAGTGAGAAATAAGTACTGGAGTTAGAGAGAGTTAGAGAGAGAAAGGGGCATAAACTAGAGAGAGAACATTTAGAGAGGGAGGAGCTAGAGAGAGAGCATTTGGTGTGTTAGAAAAAAACTGTCGCAGTTAACTAGAACTTCCAACTCATGGCATTATAAGTTATAGCTATGACATACGCCCTTAAGTTTTATTCAGCTGCCTAGTAGGAGCCCAAATTTGAAACAAAATTAATTTATCAATGTTTAGATAACTGATGGAATCACCCCTTGTCCCAAAATAAGGACATAAGAAAACAGCCTCCTTTGATACCCTCAACTTTATTTGTTTAACATTATGTATTACTTAACGCGGCAAACCTTTTGCTTATTTCAATAAAAATAAGAAAATTAGAGACTATCACATCGAGCTACAAAAAATATTTGGGATTTAGAAACTTAAGATTGTTGTAAAATCGGGATAACCCAATCACTTCTTTTGAGCAATCGGGATATCTCAAATCCCACTTGATGTGGTGAGCACTATACCACAGTGATTTCAGCACTCAAATAACATGGTCAAGATGCAATAACAAATGCCATACAATTGCGGAAAATATAAAAATAATAAAACAAACAATATGAGAAATCTTCAAAGCACAATACAAATGAAAGTAGAGAGAGACACACACATATACGTGGCTCATCCAAGATGGGCTACGTCCATGGGCAAAACAACAAAGATGTATTCATTATCAAGAGGAAAAATTTACAAGATTGGGACTATGTAGAGTTACCTCATACAATCTCGAGGAAAGCTCAAACATAATAACTTCCAATCACAAAACCACCTACAATCGAGTCCTTTCTTCGACTCCCCGATGCCACGAAGAAATGCCGAATAAAACGGCCCAAGATGAGCCTCAAATGGTGGTGCTACGGTTTTGTTGCAAAACTCCCAATTTCCAACCCCGAGCTTCTCTCTCTACAAGTTCCCTTCCCTTTTCTCCCTCACTCACTCATACGTTTCTCTCTCTATTAAACCTCTTTTAAGAGCCTCCACTAAAAAAGTATATTTTTAGTACCCAAAATGCCCTTTAACAAGAAGGAGAATACCATAGGGCCATAGGGTGTAATCTTTTCCTCACATCCCAACAATCTCCACTTTGATGCAAAATCACATCCTTGCCATATCAAACCGTCACTTCTTTCCTTTCTTGAGACCTAGAGAAATTAGACTTCGTTTTAACTTCTCTACTTGGGTGGGCATTGTAAGCATATCCACAAGGTTATCTTTGGTCTTGATATTGACCAATCGAACTCTTTCATCTTCAACAACTTGCCAGATATAGTGATATTGAACCAATATGTGTTGTGACCTCTTGTGGTGAACCGTTCGTGGTCAAATGGATAGCACTCATATTGTCACAAAATTGTTCCATGGGCTTGCACATAATGCACATCTCACCTATCAATCCTTGAAGCCACACAACTTCTTTTGATACCTCTGTTGCCGCCATATACTCGGCTTCGATAGTTAACAATGCTACCATGTCTTGGAACCTTTACATCCAACTAACCGTTCCATTTGCAAACCGAAAAACAAATGCAATAATTGACCTACCTCTATCAAGATCATCGGCAAAATTTGTATCCACAAAACCTTGTGTTGGAATTGAGTCATTGCCAAATGTGATTGCATAACTAATTGTACCTCTTAAGTACCGAAGCACCCATTTTGTTGCTTCTCAACGAACCTTTCCGAGGTTTGCCATAAACCAACTTAGAACACCAACCACATGGGCGATATCTAATCTTGTACATACCATAGAAAACATTAAACTTCCAATCGCAATTGCATAAGGAACATTAGCCATACTTCTTCTTTCTTCTTCTGTATTTAGATTTTGCATTGAAGACAATTTGAAGTGAGGCACTAGGGGTGTCTTCACCGGCTTTGTATCTTTTTTGCCAAATTTTTCAAGCACCCTTTAAATATAACCCTTTTGAGATAATGACAAAATTCCATTTTGTCTATCCCTTTCAATTTCAATCTCAACGATTTGCCTTGCTGGCTCGAGATCCTTCATCTCAAATCTTTTGCTCAAAGAAGCCTTGAGCTCATCAATTTTTGCCTTATCTTTGCACATCAAAAGTATGTCATCCATATATAAGACTAAAATCAAGTATGTACCATCATCAAAAAACTTTAAATAGATCAAATGTTCTATACCATTGTCTTGATGCTTGCTTGAACCCATACAAGGACTTCTTCAATTTGCACATAAGTCATTATTTTCCCTTTTCTATGAAGCCTTTTGGTTGTTGCATGTACACTTTCTCTTCAAGTTCTCCATGCAAAAAAGTTGACTTCACATCCATTAGCTCAAGCTCTAAATCATGCATGACAACTGACCTAAGCACCAAGCGAATTGAGACCAACTTGACTGCTAGTGCAAAAATTTCATCAAAGTCAATGCCTTGTTTTTACGAAAAACCTTTTGCCACCAATCTTGCTCTATATCTTTCACGCTTGCCATGGAGCCTTTTCTTTATCTTGAACACCCATTTACAACCAACGGCCTTTCTACCTTTCAGTAGCTCTACCAAATCCCAAGTCTTGTTTCTTTGAATGGCCAATATCTATTCTTTCATAGCTGTTTCCAATGCTTGGTACCATTGCTATCAATGGCTTCACGGAATGATGTTGGCTCCTCATTTTCAACTATCAAAGCATACAAAGTATTTGGATCCATATAATCTTTGTGCCACCCGGGTGCACGAGTTTCTCTAGTAGTGCGCCTGTGTGTCAAAGGCACAACTTCATCATGATGGCTATGTGGTTCTTCATCTTGACTTCCTAGTTCTTTATGCTCTTCACTATAATCAATAGGTATATTTTCATGAGGCATAGTGGCACTTGGTAGAAGCATTTTGGGGTTCCTTTCAAATTCTTGGCTGTCTTGATGCACTTCTTGACCATTGTCCTTCATCATCATCCCTTTTACCAATACCTTGGGTTCATCATAATGCACATCATGGTTAATGATTATTTTTCTGGTACTTGGATACCATAATCGGACCCCTTCACACCCTTGTTATAACCCACAAGGATGCAATTCTTTGACCTTGGATCCAATTTGTTCATTTGATAACTTGGAATAAGTGCATATGCATCACAACCCAAAAAATTTAAATCGGAGTAGTCACTTGGAGTTCCATACCATACTTTATTAGGAGTTTTGCTTCCCAATGCTACCGAAGGTAGTCGGTTAATAAGATCACAAGTCATTGATACAGCCTCCGCTCATAATTCTTATTCTAGGCCAACATTACTAAACACGCACCTCGCACGCTCCATCAAAGTGTGATTCATCCTCTCGGCCACACCGTTTTATTGAGGATTATAGGTATTTGTGTACTGCCTAGTAATTCCCTCGGCCTTGCAAAAATTTTCGAACTCCTTTGATACAAACTCTCCACCATTATCGGTTCGAAGAACTTTGATGTGATGCCCCCGTTAACCACAATTCGATGGGAAGAGGATCCACACGGAGCAAACATCACCAGTAAGTGACGGAACCTTTCAACTTCGGCTTTAAAATTCTTGAATGCACAAAACAATCACTTTTAGACTTGAGAGTTTTTATCCATACTTTGCTTGAGAAGTCATCAACAAATGAAA